TTTTTTTTTTTTTTTTTTTTTTTTTTTTTTTTTTTTTTTTTTTTTTTTTTTTATTGTATTGCTTTCTTTGTTTGTTTGATTTTGTGGTTGGAGTTGATCGGTGGTAGAGCTCTATTGAAGGAGTTAGTGATGGAGACATCGAGCAACTGTGCCCTTGAGAAAGTCATCAAGGATAATGACTAGTTTAAATGGGAGAGAATGTCACAATCGTATCAAGAAGAGAGTAGATTGTGAATTTCACAACGAGGCAGACAAGTCAGTGATCCTTAAGTGGCGTTCATCTAACTACACGTTAGTCAAGATAGATAAGTGTCATGATGTGACTGAGGAGGATGATGGATCATCCAACACACCATATAATGTGTATATTGAAGCCAAGATGGAGACAACAAGTAGATAAGAGGGATAAAGATAGGCTTGATAAAGGGTGGGTAGGACCCAAACCTTACCTCGAAAATTGGGGTTTCAGAAGGAGTTTGGGCATGCGGCTCTAGAGTTAAAGTTGGTTTATATGAAATATGAATGCTCACAAAATCTGGTATCAATTAGACACCAGGCGAACACTCTACGAGACTTTATGACCATTTGCCAAAATTATATTTACTCCAACCGGACAAAAAATGCCTCAAAAAGTACTTTAGGGTGAGGCATGATATCAACTCTTCACCACCCTTGGATTCTGTGGGCTGAGCGAGCCGTCCTGTGGCATAGACGTGTGTCACAGTGAGGGCAAGTGTTGCGAGATGAGTGTCTCAGATGACTTCTTTTGAAATGGATTTTACAAGGATAGTGTCCGTGTCAGACGGCACAAGTATGCCTACATTGTGCTTCTGCCCATGTGTCAAAGGTTGGTATATGCACCCAGTATCAAGTACAAAGTCTATAAATAATATGTCTCAATAGAACCCGGATGGATGGTTGTTTGGGAGGCCTTGAGAATATGAATGACGCATGGGTCTATTCTCGACATGACAAAACAAGATGTGATGGATGGAAGGATGTAAGAGAGGCATTGGATGTTTGTTGGTTTTGACTCTTGATTGAAACACACCGAAACAAATAACTGAAGCATAACGAAACACTCACAAAACCCACTTTGTAACAAAATAAGTTTAACCCACTTTGTAACAAAATAAGTTTAATCACGATGTTTTTTTGAATCGTACAAAATAAAATGTATAATTGATGGCTATTTACCGAAACAAAAACACGAACAACTCATAGAAATGTTTTACGATTAATAACTTCTCTTAGAAATGTTTCATGATTGATAATTTCTCCTAGGAATACTTTAAATAAATATGATGACTAAAAAAAGGCTTAAAGGAAATGAAAAGTACTACTCATACCATCAAGGTGCGCTTTCAATTTCGTTGATTCAATACCCCTACAATCTACCTAGACCGATGATCGCTTGTGTCAAATGTGAAATCTCTAGTTGCGGGGGAAATGGAGAGATATTCATTTACCTTGCCATGATCCACCCTGGACGTGGTGGAGATTTCTCGTTCACAGTAGAAAATGTAAAAAAATTTCTCTTGGTTGGATAAACTATTTAAATTGAAGACTATTTTATATAATATTGATACTTAAAAAGCTCTTAAAAAAATAATTGTTTTTATTAGGATATTGAAGAAATTTTTTCTTTAAATGAAAATTAAATCAACATGTTTAACATAAATATGAAAATTTAAAAATTAAAATTGAAGTGATGGGTAATGAAAATTAATAAAACTCGTATGAGCAGCGTAGGGTGTGGGGATTTTGAAGCACTCTTAAAAGGAAATCAAAATGTTGGATTTATCATTCAAACTCCATATCAAATGTTGTTGGAGTTATTATCGTCCATGTTTTTTTCCCGCCTCAACCGCTCTGTATTTCGTTTCCACTCATTTCCTGCGATTCCTGCTTCAAAGAGTGGTGATTTCAAGTCCCCTGTTCATCAATCCCTTCACCTTTCATTAGAAAGATGCTCCTCCATGAGACAGCTCAAGGTCCTCCATGCCCAAATCATCCTCCAAGGTTTGGTTTCTGAAACTCTCACTCTTGGAAAATTGGTCTCTTTCTGTGCTGTTTCTCAAGCTGGGGATCTTCACTACGCCCAGCTTGTTTTTGATCACCATCTCCAACCCAACAAGTTTATGTTCAACTGCTTGATAAGGGGATACTCCACTTCCCAACACCCAATCAAAGCTATTGTTCTCTACTTTAAAATGATGCGTTCTGGGTTTCTGCCCAATCAATTTACTCTCCCATTTGTGCTCAAAGCTTGTGCTTCTCAGCTTGCGTATTGGGAAGTTCTTCTTGTCCATTGCCATACCATTCGACTCGGGATTTTGTCTCATGTTTGCGTACAGAATGCTCTTATCAATGCTTATGCCGTTTGTGGTTTTGTCCAATGCGCACGCCAACTGTTCGATGAAATGTCACATAGAACTCTGGTGTCCTGGAATTCGATCATTGGTGGGTACTCTAGGAATGGGTTCTGTAAGGAAGCCTTTTTGCTGTTTCGAGATATGAGAGTGTGGGGATTTCAGCCGGATCTGTTCACGTTGGTTCATCTATTTTCCATTTGTACAAGAAGTTATAACTTAGATATGGGTAAATGTGTGCATCTCTATGTAGAGATTACTGGGATTGAGTTCGATCAAATTTTAAGAAATGCTCTGCTGGATATGTATGCGAAATGTGGGGATTTGCTTTCTGCTCGGACAATCTTCGATAGAATGATCGACAAAAATGTTGTTTCGCATACTTCCATGATTAGTGCATATTCAAAACATGGCCTTTTTCGCTATGCTCGTGAGGTATTTGATCAAATTCCTGAGAAGAATGTGATCTCTTGGAATTCAATGATCTCATGTTATGTCCAAGAAGGTCGATGCAAGGAAGCATTGCTTCTTTTTCAACAGATGTGTGAGACAACCATCATGCCTGATGAGGCTACTCTAGTGAGTGTTCTTTCAGCCTGTAGTCAAATTGGTGATTTAGCCATGGGAAAGAAAGCACATTGTTACATTTGCAGCAACAATATCATGATCACTGCCACTCTTTCGAATTCCCTCATCGACATGTATGCAAAATGTGGTGCCCTCGAAACTGCCATGGATTTTTTCTTTGAGTCTAAAGATAAGAATTTAGTGTCCTGGAATGTCATTATCCAGGCGCTTGCATTACATGGCTATGGCCTGCATGCACTCAAACTATTCAATATGATGCATACTTCGGGGATTTGGCCCGACGAAATCACATTCACTGGACTGCTATCTGCTTGTAGCCATAGCGGACTTGTCGACATGGGACGCTATTTATTCGAGAGAATGAGTTCCGTTTACGGGATTCTTCCTGAAATCGAGCATTACGCTTGCATGGTGGACTTGCTAGGAAGAGGAGGGCTGTTGCAGGAAGCAGTAAAACTCATTGGAGGAATGCCAATGAAGCCAGATGTGGTTGTGTGGGGCGCTATGCTTGGTGGTTGTAGGACTTACGGGAATGTGGACATCGGGAATCAAATCTTGAAACAGGTTCTGGAGTTGGAGACATACAGTTCTGGGCTCTACGTTCTTCTGTCAAACATATATTTTGAAGCAAAGAGATGGAAAGAAGTGAGAAATATAAGAAAACTGATGAATGAGCATGGGATCATCAAGTGTAAAGCTGTTAGCTTCATTGAGATTGATGAATGCATTACAGAGTTTATGGTTGATGACAAGAGACATGAAACAAGCGGTATATATCCCTTGCTGGATCAGTTAACCGATCATTTGAGGTCGGTTGGGCACTTGTCGAATAACTCGATTCTCATTTCAGATTCCGAAGGCTAATGTTATTCAGCCTTGCATTTTGGACACAAGTATTGGGTCTTCAGAGCTCAACCACGACCGGTGCAAACCGAGGTCGAAGGCTAAGTAAAAGCAAAGAGAAGTCGAGCAGAGAAGTGTAGGCGCTGCACATCGAAGGAAGATGTACCGAACATGATGCTGAGACGAAGGAGCCACTCATTCGCACGAAGTTCTTGGAACTGTGGCACCAAGGAAGTTTACAATGTTGTGTAGACACCCAAGCATCATAGCACTAGGAGCTTGCGCACACTGTTGTGTGTGATTCCCAAATTTCGGCCTATACCTTCGACATTGGACAAACATTTTTTCATCCAAGAAAGTGGCAAAATGGAGCCTTCTTGAGGGGAGGAAAAGATAGCATTTCAAATTAACATAGTTGTGACTAAACTTGTTGCAATTATTGGACCTTAGGTTGAAATAATATAAGGTGATGGTCCATTTTGTATAATCTTAATCAATAAATTATACTAAACTTATTAGTAAGTTTTTGTCACTGTACAGGTCTCGACAAACTACAAAATGTTTCTTCTTTAAAAGGATTCACTAGGCTACATTTCTTAAGATTCCAAGCCCGAGAGGAACATTTTTGTTTCTTCTTTAAAAGGATTCACTACGCTACATTTCCAGAGGTTGTATCACGAGGATCTCAAGTTTCAGTGCAAATTTCGGGGATTTAGGAGCATAGGAGTACCGTGGTGCTATTATACAAACGAGAAGTGGACGAACCTGTTGAACACTGTCATAAGTCCTATTCTCTAGGACCAAGACCTATTCTCAAGGTCTTTTTTGGCTTGTTAGTTTATCTTTAGGTTTAGCAGAAGGCTATATAATGCCATTCTTTCTGCTGTTGAAATTATTAAGTTTTGAGTGTCATATTGTATGTCTTGAGTAACTTTGGTGTTGTGAGTACATTTGTTCCGCTTTCGGCGCTCACGCTCAACAGAACCGACACAAAATCGTGCGTGTACGACATCAGAATACCGTCGGAGAACGAAGGGGAAGACTGAGGGTTCATTCTCGTATCGGGCAAAGGAGACGAGTGGATTCGGACCCTACCAATTTCGTTTTAACCCAGAAGTGCAGGCCCAGTCTAGTCCACAATCGATTTGGCCCAGCACCGACCCGGTAACGCCCCGTATACCCATGCCTCGACTCGACTATGACGCGTGCCTCCTTCAGCTACACACATGCTCGACACGTGACCATCCCAACCACGACTTGAAATAAGCTCATCTTCAGCATGTGTGGTGGCTTGTTCAGCTTGGCTTCGCGGCTTGCTCTGTCTCAGCTTCTCAATTTAGATGGCTCGATATAAAATTTGATATCATTACCTATTTATTCAATTTTAGGTAGTTTAGGGAATTAAATTGGGAAGAGCCATCTTAGTTAGGTTAAAAGATATTAATATGCCCTAAGTATGTGATATGGACGGATATAGGTGGGATTTAAGGTTGAAGTATAGTTTTCGAAGCAACTACAAAGTAACTACTAACTTTGGCCAAGGCTAACCAAGTAAGTAAACTTACCGATGGAGTTGAATAATTGAATGATGCAGAATGGTGCATGTCATAGGTGCATGTCTTATGGCCCTTACATGTCCCCTACTATTTTATACTATGATTATGTACTCTCCGTATTGACATATGATGCTATGTAATGAATAATGTATGCACGTGATATTCATTACATTATATTATGAATGAAATGAAATGTTATGTATATCATGTCATGTATTGCCACGTGAAGTTATGTAATGGATAATGTGGTGATTGCGATGTATACATAATGCATATATGTGAGATGTCGTGGATGAAAGGAGAAAAGAAATGATGATAATGTCATGCTATGAACGTAAATCATAGGGACCTCATGCATGTACATCAGGATACTTCTTTATTATGTTATGTTAATACAGACTCATACGTTCAATATTTATGTTCGTCATAATATCATGCATGTTTTTCCTTTTTTGTGGCATTCGGCAACATGTAATGCGTTGTGCCCGACCAAGCTAGACTCAGGAGTACGTATACAAGCCCGCTTAATGAGTCCATGTGCAAGTGCATTGGCCGTGTGTGAGAAAGTACCACACATCCAACCCTACTCGTCATGGTTTGAGCAATTCATTAGTAGTTGTTAGGTGTTTTAATGCAACTTATTTTATGTTAAAAGCCTGTTATCTTTATTATAGTTCTGAACTGAATATGTAAGTCCGTGGTCTCGTTTTAAAAGTATTTATTACGAGATTCTGCTTATGCATGTAGTGACATCACTAATTTAGAATAAGAAAATTAGGGGCATGATTGTAATAACGTTAAATCACCTCATAACCTTCACAATTGCTGTTGTTCTCAAACTGAGCGTTAAATCTTTTAGTTAGTGCCCAGATAAGGAAATCTCTACCTTCCACCACTCCCAAAACTCAAGTATCATTAACAGCTGTTGGATGATGGAAGTCCCACATCGGCTAATTTAGGGAATGATCATAGGTTTATAAGTGAAGAATACTAACTTCATTGAGATGAGGCCTTTTGGGGAAGCCCAAAGCAAAGCCATGAGAGCTTATGCTCAAAGTGGACAATATCATACCAATGTGGAGAGTCGTATTCATCTAACATGGTATCAGAGCCATTTTCACGCCAACCATCATGTCATACATGTAGTAGTGATCGTCCATTGCAACGTCCCTATATAGTAATTCACTTCGAGTTGAAAATTAAAAAAAAAAAAAAAGAAAAAGAAAAAGAAAGAAAGTCATAATGTAGATCGAAATGGAAGATGATAGGAAATAGAGTCGGGCATTACATTATTGAAACATGATTATATTTGACTTTGTCACTTTGGGTAACCCAATTGCAAGACGCACCTTTTATTCTCTCTTCCTTCTCCACAAATCTATTCAACATTTTTTATTTTTTATTTTTTATTTTTTAATATAATTTTCTCATCAGATTCTCTTTTTGTAGTCTTTTTTATGTCTACAAATTTTGGGAGTGAGAGAGCACATTGTTTGGGTTTGCCGGTTGTTGAGGTTATACTCTTCTACCTTCCCCAACACAATTATGAGTTTTTTATGTTTGGTTTACTTACAAATCAACACCTCTTCATTTTATGCTTAATTCCCAATTTTAATCATCAACCCTTTAATTTAATTTTAAAAATCGTTCAACGAGTCAATAATTTAATACCCATTGTTGGATGAATTGAATGATGTATGAACGATTCGTGTTCCGTGGCCGGCCCCTCCGCATATTGTATTTTATGTCTTGTGCTATGTTATGTCATAACTATGTGATGATGTACTATGCTATGATATGTCATTCACTCCATGTTAGCATGATTATATACAAGATTGTGAAATGTTGACATGTCAAGAAAGTATTCATGAAAGTGTTTACGAAAGAACGAATGTAGCTATAGGGATCTCATGCATATTTTTATGTCATGTGCATATGGATACTTTCCCATTGTGATTAGTATGAACACTTACTTTACGACATTTATGTTCATCATGATGTTATGATACGGTATGTTCACATCACAATACTATGCGGGCTCCTTTCAACGGCGTGAGTGTGTGCTAATTAAAGGGTAGGCCTAGGAGGAACGTATATGCCCGTCTAGTAGGTTCATGTGTGCGTGTATGGATCATGTATATAAAAGTATTACACATCCAATTTTTAGCCAAGACGAGTTCAAGGTTAAGGAATGTCAAGATAACTCTCCTATGATTGATTGTGTATGCATTTCCTAATCCCAATAGCAAGGTCACTCATTGAGTATTTCTTAAAATACTCATTGAGTATTTCTTAAAATACTCAAGTCATGTGTTACTCTTAGTTTTTAGGTAAATGTAAGACACCTCTATACGAATGCAGACATCGTAGTAACAAACAAGGAACTAAAGCTAAGATAGATGTGTTCATGTTATTGTAACCTTTAGGTTAGATTAGAGCGTTGTTTCATTTTTCCTTATTTTATCTAAATTTCACGTCATTTTCTCACTTTATTGTTTTAAAATTTTACTATGAACATTCAAGTCCATGGCAGAGCAAGTACCAATGTTTTCAAAAAAATTTATGCAAATATTAAGTATGTCATGCATGTAATAGCGTGTCTATTTTGTCTTGGATGAATTTCTTAATTAAAGTTATTTAATTAACTTCTTAATGTCTTAATTTTGCAATATTAGTTTGAAAAGAAAAAATATATAGAAAATGGTGTTGTTTTGGTGTTGGTGCTTGGAATGATTGAATAATATGAAGAAACTACCAACCCATTTGGGTTTTAGCTTTGGGAGATATGCTTCAATTATTGGCCTCCATCACCACCAATCCCCATGCAATGTCTTCTTATTAATTATATGTATGCAACAAAATATACATTTCTTGGTTCTATTTCTACCCAAACTAAACCTTTTTAATCTTCCATTATTGGCCTCAATGGAGACGTATCATAGAATTTGTTCGAACCCTTTTGTCATCGAGTGTTATTGGATCGATTGAAAAGCCGATGATACAAAGAGAATTTAGATGGAGCTAAAAGAACCATGTTCGTGTTAGTAAAAAGTGTAAAAGAAATTGATTAACCCAAAGGTATTACTTCCAAGTTAAGGATGCTTCTCCATGAAGTATGCATTGAGCTATTATATATATATTATATCATTTAGCTTTATTTTGTTTAGCTATATTGTTGCCTCTTTTTCTAAAAGATTCATACATTTTGTAATTGCATCTTTAATCCTTAATATTTTGATGAAACAAGGATGTAAAGAAAATTAGTAGTAAACAACAAGATTATTATCAAACACGTATACATATAAACCGCAAGAAAGACATGAACAGTGGAATGACCTATAAGAAGCTTCTCACTCCCTTCTACCAACCTACCTAGAAATTATTTGATTACGTAATAGGTGACTTTCTGACTTTGAAGAAGGAGAATAGTAGAATACGTTGGGAAGGGGAAGGACAATAATTGAGGTAGAAGGAAAGGGGATTTTATATTGGTGAATTATATATGTGCATATGGGGGTTGAGACATGAAAGCTAAAGAAAAAGAAAAAGAAAAAGAAAAAGAAAAAGAAAAAGAAAAAGAAAAAGACATGGCATAAGTTTAGTTGTTATGGAATGCACATGTTGTTGGACACAACACACAAGAATAGTGAAACATAGACAAGTGGGTGTCTGTGTCCTTCGTCTCTCCCAGGCTTCGCATCCACCCTACACTGTTCAGACCGCCATCTTCTGTGGTCGGATTTCTGCCCTCAAATCTCTACACACCCTCATGCATTTCTTTATTATTCATTCACACTTTCAAAACTTTGAAATTCATTAAATGTACCACATTATACAAATTCCTCCAATTATTGACCTATCATTCATATATACTCCTACGTATATATGAGAATGATTTGGATGGAGATTTAGTGATATGAACCCAGAGACATCAATCATACAATATACTTCAATGAAAATGTGAAGAAAAGGTTGTCAAAATTATCAAAAGATGTTTCAATTCATGCTACATTGAAGAAGAATGAAGTTTGATTGTTGTAAATTTTGAAGAAGAGTTTTTTTATTTAATTTCCGTTACATCTCCCTAATGGCTAATTATGGCCATAAAGTATGAATGTAACCATTCTTGGAATACCTTTAGTAGTTTCATTTTTGTAACCAGACTTAGAAAATATAGTAAAAAGAGCATTTGTGCCTAAGTTTATTTGCAATTCTATGTAGTTTAGGTTGCATGTAGAATCATTCAAGCTCGACATGATCAATCTTGTTTGTGGAGTGATTCGAATCTCAATCAACTGTTCTTGCCTTGAGATATTTGATCAACAAGAATCATTCAAGCTAGACATGATCGATCTTGTTTGTGGAGTGATTCGAATCTCAAACAATGTTCTTGTCTTGAGATATTCGATTAACAAGGTAATCCGAATCTTACTCCCCTTGAAATGGAATATAATCTTTACCTTCGACCCCATTTAAATAAATGAAAGAAATCTGTTTAACGATTTTTTACTGATTAAATAGATTAGAACCGAGTTAAAAATTAAAATTTTCGATTTCAATAAGAATTGAATAGGCATATTAGACACAAAAACACATGTTTAATAGCAAAAAATTTTTAAAACTGAAAAACTAATTTAGAAAAAAGGTGATTTAGTGGGCATGGACGTGGCTACTTGCATGTGTAGAAGCGTGGCACCTTCCTTGAGCTTTATTTTATTTATTCTCCCTTTTTTTTTTTTTTTTTTTTTTTTATTATTTTCTTCTCTGAATTAACTAAATCCACTTTTCAGAACCTCCTTTTTATGCTATTATCACATCTCACGTGGATCGAAACAAAGACAAAACATTTGAAAAGACATAAGCTTGTAGTGAATTTAGATTGTTATAGATAACTTAAGAATGTTTCATATTTTCACTCAAATCCTCGTTAAAATGTCATGAGCTTCAATTCTAAATCTAAAGATGAAGATGGAGATAGAACAAGAAGTGATATCAAATTATAAGTAGTTAATGCAACGACGTGTTAGGTGGTACCTCAACGTCGTTCCCCACTTCATGTCCCTTTCAATCCCTTTATAACCAATCTCTCCTTCACTTTCAATATAAACTTTTTTTTTTTACTTCATATTTTTTTAAATAAATATTTTATTTTTTTTTAGTTAACTAAACAATGAAAATTAGAAAAGAGAACGAATCATTATTTATAAAAGTGTGAAAATCTCTCCTTAGCAAACATGTTTTAAAATTAATAAAAAGATGTTCAAAAAATTAAGAGAGAACAATATCCGTCAGAAGTGAGCTTAGTTTAGTGTTTCTTTTTCTAATTTATTTTGAAAAGGAAAGGGGTTGTTAGTTTAGGGAATTGACCAAATCTTAATTCCACGTAAACCTAAAATCATTATTATTAATATAATTCCCACCAAATCTTCCACCCTGTCACCACTCATAATACAGCCTGGCATAACAACCAACTACACGACAAACCAAATCCTACGTGGCACTCTGACTCATACCTCGCCGTAGCTCCCTCCCTATATATACCCATCCGCCTTTCCCCATTCTTCTCCGCTCACTGACTTCGTCAAACAAAAAAAAAAGAACAAGTAAATTCCAAAAATGGGTATTTGCATTTCCTCCGATTCCGTGAACGTGGCCACCGCCAAGCTGATTCTAACCGACGGCACGCTGCTCGAGTTCTCCTACCCGGTCAAGGTCTCCTTTCTCCTACACAAACACCCCGCCACTTTCATTTGCAACTCCGACGACATGGACTTCGACGACGCCGTTTACGCCGTCCATGACGACGACCACCTCCAACTCGGCCACCTTTACTTTGCCCTGCCCTTGGACAGGCTCAACCAGCCGCTGCACCCGGAGGAGATGGCCGCACTCGCCGTCAAGGCCAGCTCCGCGCTTATCAAGGCCGGCGCCGGAGGGACTGAAAAATCTGGATCTCGACGCACGGCGGTCTCCCCTCTCGCGTTTTCCGACGAGGAGTTTAGGAAGCCTCCGGGGAGGAGCTTGCAGAAGGGGAGTGGTGGGGGTAGAAAATTTAGGGCGAAGTTGAGTGCAATTCCGGAATAATGTAGTTTGTGTAGGGCTAATTTTGTAAATAGGATGTAGAGGTTGCTTTCTGTGGATGTTCCGTTTCTTCCGCATCCCATGGCAATGGCATGAGATTCTTAGCTGTCACTTTTACATATTTACCCCTCAAATCTTTACAAATATCCACAATTAATTATTTTTATTTAATGCTACCGGATCTTCCCCCATTTTTAATTCCAATATAAAATAAATAAATATCCAATTTTTCTTTAAATTCAAATTCTAAACTATTTTATTTCTCATACAACTTTAAACGCAAAAGATTAAACCGAGAAATGATATACAACATGAGTGGCACAAAGTTCAAAAATGCACGTGACATCTCAGTAATGATTTAAGATTACAATCAATGAGAACAATTACGAGGATAAGATTTCTATATCGAATGATTTCCATAAAATTGTTCTAAAAAAACATATGAATGTGAACAAATAATATTAGAATGACCCATGTTAGTCTTTCGCTCTTAAAAACGAGCAATAAGTAACGTGACCATGACGTAGGAGAATGTCGGGACACGTAAGTACTGAATTCTCGTATGAATCCTAGCATGGAACGTTACAAGGAGGAATTAAAAAATGAGTAACAAATATATGGATAAATATTGAAATAATTTATTTGTAAAATACAATAAATAAAACTTAAGTAACCCCTAATCTAAGGACAATTTTAAACACCCAACATCATACCATATTTAAATTGGTGCGAAATATTTATGACAATAATTAAAATAAAAAAAATCGAAATGTTGGATTATGTCGGTTGATAATTTGATTTCAACGCCAAGAAAAAATAAAAAAAAAATATAATTTCTATAACTTAAATCGAAAATAAGTGATTGTGGATACAACAAGTACAGATCCGACGAGATTCTATTGCCAAATGATCCGTTTTCAAATTAAAATAATAATAATATTTTGTATGAAAAAAGTATATTAATATAAGATTTTTTTAATGAATACAAAAAAATATATATATATATATATATTTTGAGAAAAATAAAGAAAAAGAGTACACATACAATGATCGGAAGATGCATTAATGGGAATGTAGATAGATACATGCATGTGTAGCTTCATCTATAAAATAAATCATATATATATATATATATATATATATATATTATATTACCAAACATGGCAAGGGACACAAATAATTTGTCCCTAGTAAACATTTTTTTTTCACCAACATTAACAGGAAAACAGAACCGACATGACACTCCTTATGGGGTATGTTCTTGGAAGTATAGATTGAAATGGTAGGGAAAAAGAACCAAAATAAATGTATTCATTGCTTCTACCTCTAATTACAAACTCCATAGCCGCCTTTATTTTCCTTAACCAAATTACTCGACATTCATATAATTTGTTAATAATTGGTATTCACAATAATTATGAACGACTAGACATGATACGAGGTTTTAGACCAAATTTTTTATCGTTTAGAACTTTTTATGGGCTAGGTTGGATGCAATTGTTTGATGCATAATTATGGAACATGCATTTTTAAGACAAAGACTCCAACGGGCATAAGATAATTGGAAGTATAAAACACACATGAAAACTGTAAGAAATGTCCATTGGGGTAGCTTTGGATGCCGTCTGTGTAGTATTTGAATATTTTATTTCCACTGTTATCAATATATACTCTACAAAATCAAAATTAGAGCTTAAGAATAACACACCAAATTTATCCAAAACATACAAGAAGTAGCAGATGCAGCAGCAGCAGCAAAACATGTTAGTAGCGATACTTGGTTGAATAGTCCTTCGGTGCAATGACCAAACCGCGTCCTTTCCTTGCTCCACGATACACTGTTTCAATGATATCTATGAACTCCTGCTTATCCTTAAGTGCCCAGTTTATTTTATTGTTGTTTCCGGTCCCAAGATCTATCATTATGTGCTTGTTCCTGAAGAAGAACATCACAGTGGATGGATCATACAGCTCGTACATTGTGTTGAAGTCAGGAACCTCTGTGATATCCACAAGGTATATCACTGCGAAGTTCTTGATCGTCTCTGCTACTGATGCCAACACTTCGTCCATCTGCATCAAAATCAACAACCAGAAACACCATGAATGGACAACCCCTAATGCATACACCAACACTCAAAGATCAACACCTGCATACAAGTCTCGTCCCAGTCATGACCAAAACGAATGACCACAAGACGCTCCTCTTCAGCCAGAATTGCCTGGTCAACAGCCCATCCTGAATGAAGATGCGGCAGCAAGTACGACATCTCTCACTCAATTATTAGCTTCCACCTGTGGAGTCACACAAACAACATACAGCATACATCAAACATCACAACATTTTTCTTTGAGACTTGTTCTTTTGAGGCATGTCAACGCCTTAACATTTATGCCTAGGGCCTCAACACTACCATATAGAACTCAATGTTCGATCCTTGATCATCTATACCCCAGGCCTTGAGCGAGCAATCCAAACCATTTATACCCAAAGCCTCGAAGACTTAACAATAAGGAATCACCTCAAGGGAAAATAAGATTCCGATCATTTTGTTAATCAAATATCTTAAGGCAAGAAAACTCGTTTGAGATTTGTATCATTTTACAAGCAAGATCGATCATGTTAGGCTTGAATGATTCTAAGCATACAACCTATACTACATAGAATGACAAAGAAACTTATCCCCTTGCTAAAAAACAGCACAAATGCTCTTTCTACTACATTTTCCAAGTTTACTTGGAACCATCTAAGAACAAATGAAGCCTCACTTGAAGTATCTTGAAACCCTTGTCGCATAAATGAAGCTTGATTCTTCTTAATGTGACATTAATTGCGACTTTAATTCAACTTGACTTCTCCTAGTGTAATTTAACTTTATCCTACGGTAATTTGAACAACATTCTGCTTCTTGCCAAGTAACCACATGAACACACTTTTTGACAAAAACATCAAACTATCATAGAGTTTCAGAAAATCTCAACATAAAAGCATATTTGACATCTGAAAGGCATAGGAAACATAGCAGTTTGTAATAGCATACAATTGAAATCATATTTATCAAACAGCGCGTGCAACATACAAAGCATACAACGGACAGAGGACATAAACTGAAACGCTTAAAAAAGTCCGAAAGGGGCTTAGAGTGATTGTTACCCAATGTTTCTCACCAAAACAGCTTCAATCCTTAACGAAATATCTTCGAAGGTGTTTAAACAGCTCTGTCGCCACCGTGAGAGAGGGAGGAGATCGGTCGCAGAAGAGCGTGGGTGCCGTGGATCGGGTCGCCGCTGGTCGGAAATTTCCAATCGCCAGAACGTTCGTGTGTTGCTGCTCGCACCAGAGGCGAGAGGGAGAGAGCCCGTCGCTCGCTCGCCTGGGTACACCCCCACTTAACGAATGCTCGTCAACGCTGCTAAAGGTCGATCAGAGATGCAAGCGTCGCGTCGAGGTGGTCGCCGAACAAGGAAGAGAGGAGAGGGAAAATGATGGGGCCAGTTCTACATCGGTTGAGCCCACCTCGACCCACCCATTAACCACTCCCAATTGTACCAAAAATCAAAGAAGATTAAGAACTTGGAAAACGTGGGGGAGCCAGAGACGTTCATAACCCATAACCCATAGGCCCAAACTTATGCGGGGAACCACCCGTATTGCTAAAAAATGAGAAGCTGGTACAGATTTCTCAGATCACTTCTCATCTCTAATCTCACCCCACCTCACCACTTTTATATATAAATATAAATCTAAGTTGTCGAGCATCTGTTCCGCATCCGATCGACACTAAATTTGGCAAGTTTTCATATTTCATACGGGCGTACTTGACTTTAGAATTGCATGTCCAAATTTCCTTTAGAACTTTGACTTTTAAGGTTAAGGACTAGGGTCCTACTCGAACCTTCAACAAGTTTATCTCTGACACTCATGTTGACATCATTGCCTCTATTTTTTACCTATGCCTCGGCTTAGCTTTTATGTACATATCATGGTATGCTAGATGATGCACTATCATTCTTGGTCGCATCATAGCAATCGTCTTGTCTCGACCCTCACGTGGCCAGTTGGGTGCTACTATTGATGTGTTGTGAAGGTATATAGTAAAATGTTGTAAAATTCACAAGAACAAGTGTAAGTATACACAGTTACCAGTAGCAAGTAATAGATAAAATTAATAGAATAAAAAAAGAGGGTAAGAGATTAGAGAGATATCGAGCTTGATTCCCCTCCTTTTAAGCTCTTTTGTCCCTCTCATTGCCTTAAAAGCTATCATTTTTAGTCATTTTCTTTCCCTTCTATATTGTTTCTCTCTTCCCATTGGAGAGTGAGTATTTATACATAATTATTGAGGAAAAAAAAAAAAAAAAACTTGATGTAATTCGACATTATCAACTACCCACCCTGTCTTCTTTGCAGGGGAGGGTCACAACCTATTCTCTTTATAATCTAACTATTACACAAGGAAAATCGAAACAAAAATCTCAAATTACCAATCTCTCCTCACATGTTTATAGTTGATCTCCATTTGAAAACTTGGGCGAGAGGGTCCAAAACAGTTCAAATTTGAACAATGAAGATGACCCATAAACGAAGATCTTAAAAAAAGTGAAATTATAAATGGTTTTTCAAATCCATTATTCTCAACTTTTTGTACATAATTTTTTAATTCAAAAGGGGACAAACCCTAATCAGTTTCATGCCTCATTTGACTTCAAACACTATCTTTACCCACCTTTGCCTAAGATAGGAAGCTCAAAAACCCAATGAAAAGTTCACATATTATTACAATTTCACCTTTAATTTACTATTATTTTTCTTCAAATTTATTACAAAATCCAATTAAAATATATTTATATTCGTCTTTAAACCTACCTCAGTTATTTGTCGGGACAATATTAAAACTAAATTTACTATTTTATTCTCCGGGCCAAATAATTTTAAATTAATAGAACAATTGATTGCTTACTAGCTAGTTCGACAGTCGTACCTCCTATCACAAAATAAATAATTAATAATTATTTATATGTGAAAGCATTTAATTTACATAGTATTGATAAGACTATAATCATAGTAATCTCCGTTTAATTTTGGATGTTGATTGATTATAATTGTAAGGTTGGCATACATTTATTCAATCTTAAAGTTTTTGTTTTTTTTCTTTAATAAAAATCATTATTATATTTTTGTCCATTTCGATTTTATGAAATAAACTTTAGACTAAAAATAATTATAAAATAGATATGATGGTTAATAATTATTTTCGAGATCAAACCATAGATTCGTATTTAATCATATAATTTAATAATTTAAGATGTTTGAAACAAATTAATATAGAATCAGATGGTAGGGTGCAACAATTAGATTTGATGGAAAAAGGGAATCTTAGGATATATTTTTTTATTATTTATTTATAAAAAAAGCATTATTATGTTATTACTTTTTTTTTTTTAATGTAAGGTTAGATGTGTAGTACTTCTCTTTGCACGATTAACGCACGTTCACACGAATTCACTAGGTGGGCTCGTATACGTATCCTTTAGGCCTGTAAATGGGTCATAAGGTACGTGTCATTCATACATCACTCAGGTCATCCAACCAAGCCCAAAGACGTGCTAATAATAAGTTCACTTATTTGGTTGCTCTAAACCGAAGTCACTAAATACTCTTGGGATTTCATGTTACATCTTATGGAAATCACTTACAACCACATATATCATACGACTATTGGTGTGACGTTGTTAGAAAAATTATAACAACGTCAGGCATGTAATGACAACTTTATTTTACTAGCAAAGAAAAATAGAATTGTTACAAGTGCAGTATGAGATTTCAAACATCAGTAGTAAAAAGAAATAAGTATGTACATCTCATAAGGAACTTATGTCATGTACCATGTGTCTTATATTACGTATAGACGCATACACCACGATATTATTACACGCTCCTTTCTTTTCTGTTGATTTTTTAGAACATGAGCGTATGTTAACCCATAGTCACGTCTAGGGAGTAGTATACGAGTCCCCTTAGTGGGTTTATACAAGTGCACATAATATGTGTGTAGAGAAGTACTATGCATTCAACCCTACTTGGAAAAAAAAAGTAGAGTCTAAGAAACAGTAATGAAAAGTAGGTCTCATCAGTCGTTAAGTATGTTGCATTTCTCAACCCCAACCGTAAATTTCTGGAGTATTTTTAAATGCTCATCCTATGTCTATTTGTTGTTCAACTAAAGGCAAGGGCCCTGTGTACGGATGACGGTGCCTACTGAGGAGGTCATAAAATAAAGTCACATTAGATAGTTTTTCGCATTTATGTCCTAGTTCCATTTTTAGACAAGTTTAGTAGCATTTTCATCTTTGAACCTTGAAAGGGGATGCATAACGCCTCATGTCCAGGATTCGAATGAGGATTCAAAATTCATATTCGACATCGACATTCCCCTACTACATGGTCACATTACTTACTTCTCACTTCTAAGAGTGAAGACTATCACCACAAACCAACAAAGGTCTTTTTAATAGGTGTTTCTTCTCCCTAACATACATCATAGGAGAATCCTCCCGAGGTCACTCAACATAGAATTTCTCCAAGTAGAGCACAATTAATCTTTAAAGTTCTTGTGATTAAGCCATAAAAAAAAAAAAAATGAAGGTGCATCTTATTGGTATAAGCAGTGACTTTTATGTTTTTTTAGCCATCATATTCTCATATCGCTCTCATTTAAATGTGGTCATTGGTTCATTTACATACTTTTCCTTTACTTATGTGTTACATGTCCACCATATTTTGTCTTAGTTCGTCCCTTAACCACATCTTACTGGAAGAAGTATGCTTTTATACCCTTTGAAAAATGCTCATAAACATTTGAAAGAAAGTTTTAGAGACCGAAAAAAATAAAAATAAAAATAAAAATAAAAATTGTTAAGCTCCAAGTTTACAGATAACAGATAAGAAAGAATAAATCAAAAAAGGAAATGATTTATGGGGCTCAAATAAATGAGTTTTATCTATATATCAAGGATAATTTTTTTTTTTTTTTTTTTTTAAGGATAATAATGTTATTTTGAATTATTTAAAATTGTGAAAGGGTAATTTTAAAGTTTTTTAAAAAGTCAAAATGACACTAATGAAATTTTTTAAGAGTTTAAGTGGATTTTTTAATCACTTTTTAAGTCTAATGTATTTTTATAATAAAATTTAATAATTTATTTGACTTGAAATTATGCTTATATTAAGTCATCAATTTGTTAAAAACTAAAAAGAAAAAAGTAAGGCAAAATAATAATAACTTTTTGAAAGTTTAATCATTAAAATATTCAAAATAAAAAAATAAAATAAAATAGAAAGTTGAAGACTAAAATAAAAATTTTAAAAATTTTAAAAATTTTAAAGCAAAATATAATTTTGGTAGGTTTCATTCCATGTACCAAATTAATTTTGAATGAAAATAGTTGATTAATAATAATAATAATAATAATAAATTATGTATATTTATAAAGAGAAGGGTAATAAATATCAATTTAAAAAATAAATTTGGATTAGGACAAAATAAAATAAAATAAAATAAAATAAAGAGAGTATGAATATGAGTTGAAAAGGGCAAGAAAATGGGCGTTTATAAAAGCGGAAAGAGGAAATGAAGAGTATTTTCATATCTGTTTTCCGTGTGAAGATCTGAGAATGGGGGTTTGCGCTTCGACGCACACAGCAACGATATCAGCGAATCCGAAGCGCGGAATGAGACTGCATCAACAGCAGCAACCAAATCTGGATTCGATCAAGGTGATTCACATGGACGGCTTCGTCCAGGAGTTTTCCGATCCAATCAAAGCCTCCAAAATCACATCTCACAACCCTAACCTCCTCCTCTGCAACTCCGACGAAATGTTCATCGGCAGCCGCGTCCCCTCCCTCTCCCCCGACGAAAACCTCCAACTCGGCCAAATCTACTTCCTCCTCCCGCTCTCCCTCGCGCAATCGCCTCTCTCCCTCCCCGATCTCTGCAATTTCGCCATTAAGGCCTCCTCTGCTCTTCCCACGCTTCAATCTCCCTGCTTCAGGTAGTCTCGCGATGCCGCTGATTTCGATTGGTGGTGTTATTGTGGATCGAATCGGAAGTCAACCGGTGAAATGGTTTGGATTTGGGGTTTTGTTATGTATGTTCCATTTTAGGGCATATTGGATTAATTTGTAAGAGGTGTTTATTAAAAGGCTTTGGGATTCTCATACTAAACAACGCGGATATCCCTTCCCCCAATATTTCAATTTCCTTATTTTTCCAATATATATATATATATTTTTTATAATTTTAATTCATAGGGACAATATTACAGAGTGCATTTTTGGGCCAACCAGTTCTATTATTATAAAATCCAATTCCTAAATTATTTAGAGTTATTGGTACACTTAATTAATAGGATGCACTAGAACATTCCATCCAAATATTTGACAACTTTTTTTTTTATTTATTATTTTTATAATATTTGATAACATAAGTTTAGGTCATATCATATTTGGGTCTAAATTCAAATAAACCCAAAACAATAAAGCCCATAAAAAATTTACAAATAAGAGGGCTTATAACAAAACTTGAGATTTGAAGATTTTAAAGAAAAATTTAAGATAT